GATTAAATATTAATTCTATTATTATTTTTTTATTTTAATGAACTTTGAAATATTTTAAATTATTTCAAAATATTTTGAAATATTTTGTCTACTTTAAATAATTTCTAAATTTATTTTAAAATATTTTGTCTTTTACACATTTAGATAATTTTTTTGCTATATTTCAAAATATTTTTGCTGCATAATAAATTTAAAAAATTTTTTCATAATATTTCGAAAGATTTTGCATAATGCAAAAATTTCAAAATTTATTTCACAATATTTCAAAATATTTTGCACTTTACAAAAATTTTGAAATTTTTTTCACATTATTTCAAAATTTTTGTATTATGCAAAATTTTTTGAAATATTTTATATCTATAATTTTGCTAATATAGGTACTATTTAGATGTCTAAGTAATGTCAGACTTTTATATAATTTATATAGTTTCAAGAATCTTAATAAAGTACTAGTGTAACTGCTAAAGTTAAAAAAAATAAAAATAAAAATAAAATAAAATTAATAAATAATCTCAATTTTCAAAGATTAACAATATTAATTTTAATAAAAGTAGGTTAAATTGTTCACTTTTTAATAAAAAATTTTTGAAAGAAAAGTGGTAAAGAAAATTTTTAAAGCACTAACTGTAATGATTATAAGAGTTTATATTATATAAAATAATATATTTAATCAGATTTTTATTTTTACTATTGCTTATATATAACTTAATAAACATTTTCTTGATTATAATTAAAGTTATTTTTTTAATAACTTTATAAACTTTTATTAGAGAGTTAAACTTACAAGAAACTGTTTTTTTCAACTTTTTTTCATATTGTTCATATGCAATCTGAAACTTTTGAATCTAAATACTATACAGTAAAGCTTTATTAAATATAAATATACTAACTATATAATATTTATAAATTGGTATATATAAAAAAAAATAATGTAGAGGATTATTGAAAAGAATTGTCTATAGAAACTTAAAATAACTACAATATAATTATAAATTTTATATAAAGAACCATATATAAAATTTTGTTATTTTTTTCTTTTTTTAAAAAAATTTTATAAAAATAAATAATTTAATTTATTTTTTTCAAAAGATCAATATATAAAATTATCAAAATAATTAACAATATTTATTTTCTAAATAGAATTGTTAATGTCATAGATTAAAAATAATATAGTAATGCAAATACAACTTATATATATACTTTGAACTACTAAAAATTTGTTAAATAGTATTTTTAAACTAATTGTATTTTTTATTAACTTTCTAAATTTAAGTTAAAGTTTTCATATATAATTTTTGTTATATAAAATTAGTAAATAATATTAGTAATAAAAACTTAATATTTATTTATTTTTTTTTGTTATTAAAATGACTTCTTTGGTCTTTTGTCTTTTATTAATAACTTATTAGTAATATTATTTTATAAACCACTACAAGAGAATGTACAATGACTACATATATAAATTTTCTATATTATCTATTTAAGTAGTTTGTCTAAAAGTTTTTTATCAATTGTTATACCTAATACCTTTACTTAAGTATTCCATTTTAAATTCTTTGAACCTATAATCTGTGTTAACTTACTGGATTATATCTAGATTCCTAAATCATCATCTCAAATTTATTCATGAAGTAAACTTCCTAAAGCTTTTTGTATCTATTTTTATAATTAACTTAAGTATCACTATAACAAAGCTAATACTTACAGTTAAAGCTTAATCATTAAACCACTATGTCCTTATAGACTTCACTCAAATTTTAGCATTTCTTCATAGCATAATCTCAATATTTTAGTATATCTTTGAATTTTGTTAGACTTCTAATTCAGATGATTTGTATAGAACTATGACTAGTTTATTAGTATATTAGGTTAGCCTAATATTTTTTTTTCTAATTTATTCTAATGCCTGGTTAGTGATATCTCTAAGATTCTTAATCTGAAGGTTCTTGTCTATTTGATTACTAAGACTTGAATATTTGTTTTTTCAAACTAGTCTTTATAGTAATGTTATCAAAAATCTGGCTATTTCTTTATTCAGATCTTCTTAAATAGACTTTTTGTTATTCAATTTCAATAGATTTACATAATTACAAGAACTTATCAAATGTTTGCATTGCCCAGTTGTCAGTTTGCATTGCTCAGTTGTTAGTTTGCATTTCTTTGTATAATTCTAACATTGCACAGATGCCCTATAACCTGCCAGTCATGTTGGTGCAACTATTATTATAAGTATCCTAACTCAATTATTAATAACAGTTGCTATAATATAAACATTACATAGGTGATTATCTAAATTTTCACCATTGATAGAATTTGAACACCCAACCTACCACTTGGAGGATTGACAATCTAACCACTTCACTAGGTTGCCACACTCTGGCTTTACATTTAGTATAATTTATAATTTTTAAAAATTTAATATAAAGTTTATAATTGTGATTATTCAAGATAAATATAATTATTTTGTAAAAAATAATATATATGTTTACTATTGTTTTTTTTTATATCTCTATTTTATCTTTTGATTAAATCTTTCATAACTTTCTTTTATATTTCAGTATTTAATTTTTTTATTAATTTTTTTATTCATTTTTTTTTTTTTTTATAAAAAAAATGTTATTAGATTAATATTTTATTATAAAATAATGGTTAGATAAACTTTCAAGTTATTATAATGTTTTTGGTATTGTGTAACCAGTGTAATAAATCATCTTTAAGCGCTTATAAAAACAGCCATAAGATGTCAAACTAGTAAATTAAATTCAAAGTATGCACAAATTAGTAAATACAAATCTTAATAAAGGTTATTAACAAAACTCCCAAAGAGAAAAAAAAATAAATTGTTATATTTTTTATTAAATTAAGAGAATAATTTAATTTTAAAAACTATATAAAATAAAAAATTATTAACTTTATAAAAAAATGTTTTATGTAACTTTTTTAAAACCTATTTAATAAAAATATTTAATAAAAATATTTTTGAAAATTTTATTTTAATTATAAAGGTTTATAAATTTAATTTTTTTATAAAATTAAATTTTTAACAAAAATTATAATTTAAAAATAAATTTTATAAAATAAGTTTATTAATTAAATATTAAAAAGTATATTTTAAAAATTTTAGGAATTTTATTTAACTTTGATTATTATTTAAATTTTGTTTATTAAAAAATTGGTCAAAGACTTTTTTTAACACACCGTATTATCAAAAATGGTCTGTCAACTAAGAAAACACAAAAACGAAGATTTATTACAAAAAATTTTCGTAAATATTATGAACACTCTTGAGCCTATATTCAATTATGTCAAGTTTTATTCAACGCTCTCAAAACTTCCAAAGTCTGAGCACAATTTTTAATTGCATCACATATACTTTTAACTTCAGATAAGTCGATGGTATCTTGTAGATAAACGCTTAATTCTTCAATCTTTGATATGATGACTTTTTGTGCTGTATTGAGTGTTTCGTTATAATTATTAAATGAAGAGGCGACTATGATCTAACGTCAAAAAAAAAGTCGGTCACAAGTGGCTAACAATTCTCATTATTTAAATTATAAAAATAAGTACCTCCGCATCTTTTGTGTGAACTTTGTGCTTTTCTTCATTAAATACGGACCTATTAGATGATGTGGATGTTTGTGGAGTAAAATCACGCGTAGTTTTGCATTTTGAATTCTCCAAATCGGATTCATTTATGTAATATTGTTGGCAAATCACACAATATTTTTTTTTGTCTCGAGAACGTAATAATGGTATCTAAAATCAATAAAGAAAACTTTATATAAAATGCTTAGATTATAATATGGTTATTGGATGCTAAGCAGCCCACAATAATTATTACATGACCATAAAAACTATCACTCCACTCACGCCGTAACAGATATCATTTGGGCATATTTCATCGATTAAGGCCCAGCCCTGTAACAGGTATTGTCCAATGGATTGTGAAGCACGCTGTGACTGCTCACGTCGTTCGTCTATGGACATAATTCACCGTAGTATAGTTTAGAGTGCAAAATTTAAATTATTAAAGAATGCCGCTGAGTTCTTTTATTGGATCATTTGTGTTACGTTACATTCCACCTTAACTTTACCTTAACACTATTTTTAAGCTACCAGTAGGGACCATGAAAGATCGATAATATGCACCAAATCAGATGATCTACACTAATCAAAACGATCGAATTTTTAACCTTACTCTAAGGTTAGAGTTATGACCAAAGTAGGGAATCTTTTTTATTAGTGCGCACAAGTTTTACAAGAGGATCCAAAAATTTCCAGGTCGGATCATCTGATTTAGGTTGGCATTTAGCAATACAAGTTAACCATTACTGGTCAAAATTATCAGCTAGGTAACTTTACTTAATGAGTGTGCTATCGTTATGGCTCTATTATATTAGTAAGATCTTGGGCAAAATTAGTTAATTCCGGCCCTTCTGATCATGATTCCGAGGCATCCCGACCCGGAAATTTGGGAATGCGTAGTGCATAATGAATTAATATAATTTAACATTTTATATAGAACATATCTATCTATTACTAGCCTAACATGATAGCTACCATCTTAAAGCAGCGTACAACCAATTTTTTAGCCTTCTGAGTCACATGTATAACTCATATTTATTTATTAACTATAATTATTTATGGTTTGTTTTTAGTTTTTTTAATATTAAAGTGAGCACTTGCATTCAAGAAATTTAAATGGTTTATTTGGTGGATGAAGGTCAAGGGGATGGTTGTTATATATGATAGGAGTATAGTTGGTTTGTTTGTTATTAGTTGTAAGTACAGATTTAGTAGAGTTAATTTGTATATTAGTGAGTGTGATAACTTAGTGAAGTGAATAAGTTGTCATACTCCCAAATGGTAGGTTGTGAGTTTAAAACCCACTGATAGCAAAATTTGGATAATCTCTTATATAATATATAGATAGTATTATAGTGATGACATTCTGTCGATCAGTTAGGATAGGATATCTGTAATTATAATCACATCAGCATAACTGACAGGTCTGAGACATCTGTATAATCTGTTACACAAAGAAATGCAAACCAGTACCAGGTAATGCAAACCTAAAATAAGTTCTCAGGTTATATAAATTTATAGAACTAAGAAGTTAGAGCCCACTTGAAAATTCTAAGCAAAGAGGTAATATAGATCCTTGATAGTATTACTATAAAAGCTAGATCTAGGAAATAGATATCAATGTGGAGGATTCAGACAAGCAAAAACCTTGGATAAGAGGTATCATCAATCAGATTACCTAATTTTGAACCAGAAAAAAAGGATATTAGGTCAGCCTCAATATATTAAAAACAGGTTACAGTTCTTTTGAACTATTTGGATTGTGAGTCGGAGTTCAAAACAGGGATATATTAAAAATACTAGGAATATGTTATGAAGTTAATACTGAACTCTATAAGAATAGTTCATGTTAGTATTTTAAAAGTGAATAGATAATTAACAATAGAGAATTCTCTGCACCTTACTAGTAGGTAATGTATTCTGAAAAGTATAAAGGCTTAGGAACTAGTACAAAAAGGGTAGATAATTATACTGCTCAAATGATATATTAGTTAGGTATATACAGGAGGTAAGTTGGGGATTTCAATATGACAGAGCAGGTGATTAGAGGATTTAAATAGATAATCTTCTAGTAGGTTATAAGTACAGCAACTAGTATAGAACCTTAGGGTGAACTATTTAAATAGGCAACCAAAAGTTGCATATATGACTAGCTGTACTCTCATCTCTATAAAAATAGTTATAATAGCTAAACTAATATAAGTCAATAAAGTATCATTACAAGTATAATCTTTAATAAAAAAAAAAAAAATTTGTATATTAGTCATATTAAAAAATAATTTAACTATAAAAAGAATTTATGATAGTTTTTGTTATGAGAATATAATCTAGAGAGTATCATTCATGTAAGCAAGAACTGAGCAGTGTAAGCTAAACTTGTTATATATTTAATGTTTTAGATTAGTTAGTCAAAAGACTTGTATAGTATAATTTTTGAAGTTGTTATGAATATATAAGATAAGTAGTTCATAGTAGATTTTTTATAAAAGAAGAGTAATAGGTTTATTCTGATTAATACTATTGTATACAAAATATAATAAAGTAAGTTTAAGATTTGTAATAACTTGATTTTGTTGATTATAAAAAATGCTAGTAATGCTATTTACAATAGAATAAAAAAGAACAAAATATTGTAAAGATTTTTGGAGAAGAATAAGATTAACTAAGTTATATTCTTTACTTATATCTTAAAATAAAAACTAAATTAGTTTGTTGTTGCATAATATATTTTTGATAATGTTATTAAGTATATGAATTAGTATAAATATGATGTTATTAATTAAAACAACATAATTGTATAGTAAAAGTATAGAATGTTAAGAAAACATAATACTAATTTTAGTAGTAATAATTTTTGTATAAACTTTTCAAATATGTTTAATAAGACTAATAGAGTAAATAAGACTTAAGTTATCATTAAATATATTATATTTTAAAATTGAATAAATTCTACAGTATTTTTATTGTTTGAAAATTTATTTAAATTAAAACAACAGTTGAATAAAGCTATAATAGCTTTAATACAGATAGTGTTTGCATGTTTAAGCATTTTATAGCTGATGTTTGTAGGTTTGCAAACTTTTTTGTTAAGAAGTTTTGACAAAATTTATAGAACTTCTTCTTCTGTTATAGGAGAGTTAAAAGAATTATATGCAATTTGGAGTCTGTAATAAATTGGTCAAGAAGTTTAATATTAAAAAAGTAAATAGAAGCTTTGTATCAGTTAAGAATACTGTTAATAGTTTGTTTAAAATGTATTAAAAGTATTTTACATCTCTTTTCAGTTGCTTCTTGGATTTGTTGACAAAGTAGTAATATGTTTTCTATATAATAAGCATAATATAGTTGTTTTTAGATGTTTTGTGGATATTGAATCTATGCATAAATTTGAGAATAATCATCTTAATTAAGAGTTTAAAGATCACAATAGGATTTGTTATTAATAGTTTTAATTTTAAAGTTTATCATATTCATGTTGAGGCTATTGTAAGTATTTTTAATTTGTGATCTACTAATTAGTGATACAAAATAATTAATGTAATATGAGATAAGTATATTATAAATTTCTGGTGTTATAGGATTGTAGCCTTTTTGGTACAATACAACCAAGTAACAAGGTCATCTAGCACAGTGATTGACTATTGCAAATATATATGAAGTGGAGGTATAGTAGTTCATTTTACTACACAGTAGCAGGCAAATAGTTTGAGATAGTAAGTATATAGATTAACTTTTATTAAATAAACACATAGTGACAACCTTGTCTATAGGAATTACTCTAGAAAGGGAATATCACTTTTACAAGTTAGAGGTAAAAGTAGAAGGATCTAGGTTGAAGTATAGAAACTTAGAATTGGTAGAGAAAGGTAAAAGCTACCCTTTATATATCTTTTTATTTAGCAAGAATAGTGAAAATTTGAGCAACATTACTTGATACTATACTTAGGATAATGGAGGTTTGAGCAATATTAGATATCATTGTATTTGGGATAGTGGAGGTTTGAACAACATTAGATGATACTATGCTTAAGGTAATGGGAACAGTGCAGAGGCAACTAGAGATATTGTTTATATCATTTGTCATTCATATTTGAAACACTTGGGATTTGTGTTTAGACACTTAGATCCATGCAAAGGCACTTGGGATTTATGCAGGGATACTTGGAGTTCATGCAAGAACACTTGGGATTCGTGTCAAGGATACTTGGGATTCTTGTGCCATGACACTTGGCACAGTAATTTGATACTAGAATACATGAAACTTGTACAGAGGTATTTGAAGTTTGTAAGATGATAGTAACATCACAGATGTTACTCAATATTATATGACTGTACCACATTTCTAATAGCCAATTAAAATCCTTTATCTATCTACTATATAATATAACTATCAACTAACTAATGACTAATAATAAATATAATATAAAATACAATAATAA